AATTTGGTCAATCGATCCACTATTACCCAAATCGAATCATATCCTCCGCTAACACGGGGCAATCTAGTCACAAAATCCATAGCCACATGTTCCCATTTCCATTCAGGAATTGATAAAGGTTTCAGCAAACCTGGGGGCTTCCCATGTTCAACCTTAACTTGTTGACAAGTCAGGCATTTGGCTACATATTCAGCTACGTCTTTCTTCATACCTGGCCACCAATAAACCATTTTTAAATCATGATACATCTTGGTGGCTCTTAGATGTACGATATAGGCAGTAATATGGGCTTCTTCTAGAATTTCTTCCTTCAAGTTATCTTGATTCGGCACATATGTTCGAAATTTATACTTCAACAGTCCATCATCTTCATACACATATTTTTGATCTTGCTCTTCCGATCCAAAATTTTCATCACAAATTCATCTTGACCTTAAGCATTGGGGATTCGATCTAAAATCATTAGTCATACTCGAAAATGAGCAATAAGAGTATTAGGATCACTAATATCCATCTTGATCCCCATGCTGCCTAAACTTTGCCATTCCTGCACTAGACTTCTTTGTTCGACTGACACATGGGCCAAACTCCCCAATAGATTTTTGACTTAACGCATCAGCTACAATGTTTGCCTTACCAGGATGATACTGAATGGTACAATCATAATCTTTGAGCAATTCCATCCATTGGCGCTACCTTAAATTGAGATCACGTTGCTGAAATATATACTTCAAACTCTTGTGATCAGTATATATTTCAAAGCTTTCCCCATATAGATAATGGTGCCAAATCTTTAAGGCAAATACTATCGCTACCATCTCCAAATCATGGGTAGGATAATTCTGCTCATGCTTTTTAAGCTGCCTTGGGGCGTACGCTATTACTCTTCAGTTTTGCATCAACACACATCCCAATCCAACTCTTGATGCATCACAATATACAACATAACCTCTTGGACCATTTAGTAAACTTAAAATTGGTGCTGACATCAGACACTCCTTTAATCTTAAGAAACTATCTTGACATTCATCGGTCCATTCAAACTTAGCTCCCTTTCGCATCAATTTTGTCAATGGTGCCGCGATTATCGAGAAATCTTGCACAAATCGATAATAATACCTAACCAATCTTAGAAATCTTTGAATCTTAGTAACTATACTCGGTCTTAACCAAGTTTGGATCGATGTAACTTTTAAGGGATTCACACTAATCCCTTCATTCGATATTACATGTCTGAGAAAACTAACACTCTCTAACCAAAAAGCACACTTAGAGAACTTTGCATACAATTCATGTTCCCGAAGTGTCTGTAACACCATTCTTAAATGTTGTGCATGCTCTTCAGGACTTCGAGAATACACCAAGATATCATCAATAAATACCACTACAAATCTATCCAAATAAGGTCAGAATACTCTATTCATTAAATCCATGAATGCGATGAGAGCGTTAATCAAACCAAAAAACATTACCAAAAACTCAAAATGTCCATACCTCGTACAGAATGCAGTTTTTGGTACATCTTCTTCCCGAACTCTTAATTGATGATACCCTAAGTGTATATCAATTTTTGAGAAGCATCTCACCTCTTGCAGTTGATCAAATAAATCATCGATCCTGGAAAGTAGGTATTTATTCTTAATAGTCACATTGTTCAATTTTCAATAATCCACACACAACCTCAAACTCCCATCTTTTTTCTTTAGAAAAAATACCGGAGCTTCCCAAGGGGAAGTACTTGGATGAATAAATCCCTTTTCCCCCAACTCTTGCAATTGCTCTCGCAATACTCACATTTCTGTCGGTGCCATTCGATAGAGAACCTCAGATATTGGTTCTGTGCCAGGAATCAAATTAATACAAAATTTAACTTCTTTTTTTGGGGGTAGCCCTAGTAATTCATTTAGGAACACATCTTTGAATTCATTAATTATTGGCACTGTTTTAACATCGGGAAACTTTTCCCCCATCGACACTTCTTCCATGGCTACTACGCAAGTCAAATAATTCTGTCCGATTTCCACACTAGTGACCCCTGCCAATATCTTTTTATTGCACGGACTCTTATGTCCATAAATAATAAAAGGGACTTCTCCAGGAAACTTAAATTTCACATATTTATAATGACAATCAACGTTGGCATAACAATCATACAATCAATCCATTCCTAATATAGCATCAAACCCCAATGTCATTAATAACACCAAATCCACCAAAGTCTCCCAATGATTGACTTGAACTATGCAAGACTTATAAACGAACTCTGCCATATACATTTCTTTCAAAGGGATAGTCACTGCCAACAGTTCTTCCATTATTTCACAAGGTCTATTCAATCTTGACACAAAATTTGAAGAAACAGAAAAATGGGAAGCTCCAAGATCAAATAAGATCGATGCTTCAAAACCACAAATTAAAAGAATACCTGTCACCACATCATTAGAGGTAGGCATATCTTGTGGGCCTAGGGCAAATACTCTCGCTTGTCCTCCTCCAAAAATAACCTGCGGCATTGACTCAGTAGGTCGGGATTGGGAGGTAGAAGCCATCCCTTTACCTTTATCGGGTCTACTACTCCTAATTGGAGGTGAAACTGTAGATGCTACTACTAAAACTGGTTGCACATACCCACGACTAGTTCCTTGCGATCTTCTTTCATAAAGGTAATCTCTTCGCATATGTCCCAGTTGACCACAATTAAAGCACACATCATATGATCGAGCACATGGCCTCACATGCACAGTACCACAACGTGTGCAACAAGGATTCCTCTAGCCTATCTATTGAGTGTTAGGGCCAATTATTTCATTGCCAGTTCCTCGACGATTACTTGTTCCAAGAAAATTCCCATGATTAGATGAACTACTAAACTGGGGATTCCTCCTAAACCCTTGAGATCCAATTGATGCTTGCCCTCTATTCTGAATAATATCCCTTCAACCAGGTCGACTTGACCTCCCAAAAGTCATTTCTTGACTAGTGTTCCTTTCACTAGTTTGTCCTTCAGCCTTAATTCTTCTAGTACTTTCGCAAAGTGCCCTAGCCTCAATACTACGACCCTAAATTAGTCGAGCACAATCCACTGCATCAGAGTATGAATCAAACCTCTACGGTGCAACAGCTCTGAACAAGTACTTAAACAGTCCAGCCACAAACCGATTCACCCTCATTTCTTCCAAAGACACGAGGTATGGGGTGTATCTAGACAATTGTGTAAACTGCACATCGTATTCAGATACTGTCATCTCGGGTGCTTGTCTCAAAGCCTCAAACTCCCTAGCCTTAG